ACCCCTTGGCGTGGTGTCGCCCGCACCGCGCTCAGCCAGTGAGCGCACCGGCCATCCCTATATGGGATCCGAACCCTCGGACGGGAGCGCTGCCGCGCTTCCCAAGCGGCGCACTATCCAGTGCGCCACCGGGCCGGCCCCAGAGCATCTTCTTATGAAATAGTATTTTCTTTTTTTTTTTTGTGACCAGTAAGGGTATCGTAACCCTTGGCGTGGTGTCGCCCGCACCGCGCTCAGCCAGTGAGCGCACCGGCCATCCCTATATAGGATCCGAACCCGCGACCTCGGTGCTCTCAGCACCACACTCACCCGAGTGAGCCACGGGGTCGGCCCTGAAATAGTATTTTCTAATTGGAGGATAGTACCAGAATTCTTTTTACATGAAATATTTATGTGAAAGCACTGTGGAAACATTAAAGCATCATACTGTACATGTAAGGTATTATGGATCTATGCCTTATGTAGCCACAGATTTGGAATAACTGATATTACTTGTATTTATGTATGCTGAATAAAATAATCTTTTAAAATCTCCAAAAGCTCCTCTTCTCTACCTTTTCTTTTGTCCTTTTCTTTCCCTCTCTCAGCTATATTTGAATCTACTGGACCATGTGTGTGATTCCTTATTCTGTGATCTCCTTAGAGTATAGTCCTATATGCCTAGCACTGAAACCTGTAGTCCTTAATGGAGTTGTCTCATCCTCCCCAACTTACAGCCCTATCCGAGTCTGTACAGTCTTATTTCCAAATGTAGGTAGTACCCCTGATTCACCTTTCTCTTCCCTGTTTCTATTAATAGAGTGCTCCTGATTGTGATATTACATCCATCCCCTTGGTGATGGAGCTTGTCACTAGGAAGGAAGACTCAGTCGGAGAATAGCCAACAAGATGGGTTACTGGGAGCATCTCCTGAGTGGCACTGAGTGGCGGCATCAGGGGGTTGGAACCTTGTGAAAAGGGAACCTGCCCCCCAACACTTGGAAGGTAAAGAGCCTGGATTCAGAATCCCATTCCAGGCTTCAGCTCTCTTCTCTGCCAGCTGGGATGCTGCTTTTGAAAAACTGATTCTTAAAACTCCTTTCTTCAAAAAGCTTTCTGTAATTTACCTACACTGTCTTATTCTTTTTGCATATTTATGTACTACATTAATTATTAACTTTTACATATTGGTAAGTTGCTTAGTAAGTTTTATGTCTTTTTATGTATTTTTTTATCCTGTATACTCACTGGGCTCAAGCCTACACCTTAGTTTGAGCATAAAGATTGTGTTTTCTCTTTGTTCTACATGTCTCTACTGGCAAGGCGGTTGTGTATTTAGGATGAAGATGAGGTTTGGGGTAACCACACAAATAGTGCCCGGTGCTGATGACCAAGTGGGAGTTCACTGCTGGCCTTTGAAACCTGGCTGGTCTTGCTTTAGGCATTAGATAAGTTCTCCAAGAACTGTGTGCCCTTTGGATTCTCTTGTAAATTGAATCAATAAAATATACTAAAGAAGCCCAACTTTAAAATCCCCTGTGGTAAATCCAGTATTGATCACAGCAGTCTAGAAATAAACAGAACTTTTATGTAGTCCATCCCCTCATTTCACAACCAAGGAAACTGAGTTCCTAAGAGGGGAAGTGATTTCAGTCTAAAGATTCTACTGCTTAAATAAAAAAGACCACTTTCTTTCACTTAAAGTGTCAAGAGAGTTGCCTAAAGAGAGCAAGGTCAGTTAGTAGAAAAGCCAGGCCACCTTTTATAAAATAATTACCTCCTAATTTACCTATTTTTGTTTTATTTGCTTAATCTTGGAATTGTAGAACTTGTAGAGCACCTCAGATTTTATGTAGTCCAGGATGCTTCATTTCATGTAGAATTAGGGAGCCGAGGCTCAGAGGTTAAATACCTTGCCCAAATGTCACACATTTTGGTCCGTGATAGAGCTAAAACTATTGGGATTCAGTTTCTGAATTCTTAACTCAGCTTTTTTCACCCCTACCCTATTCATTGGGGAATACAGGGAATGTGATGAAATGTTTTAGGGACACCTGTGAGATCCTTCGCCGGCTAATTTCTTGACTAGGTTGAAGTTTGTAGGAGTTACCTGTGTCTTTAGACTGGGGCAGGTTATGGAGCCTTGTTCCTATGTATCTGGTTATTTGTAGTAATTGGGGCTGGAGAATCCTTAACTCTCTGCACTTGTGTTGTACTCAGAGCAGGAGGAGAGAGTATTGGTAGAAAGGAGACTATATCACTTACACCTGACTTTTGCCCTTATGCTTTTGCCAAGAATTGGGAGCAGCATGCCCAGTCCAGTTACCCTAAAATATAAATCATGGGCTAGAGTGGCTTTTCTTCATGTTTCTTAGTGTGTATGTGTGTGCTTGTGTGAATGAATGTGCCCAGTTTACACATCTGTGCATATGGGTTCAAGAAACCCTGAATAAGTAAGGATAAATGTCCTTTAGGAACCATCTGTTTTGAATTCCTAGCTCTCTCTAGGGGTAGACCAGAAAAACAACCACAACAGTAAGTTAAAAGCGTACAGGAAGGGATCTGGCGAAGCTCTTGCATTCTTATAATAATGCTGACCAGGAATAGAGAGAAAGACCCCAGTGTAACATGGAGGAGGTAAAGTAACATAGTTAACCTGGTTTGGTTCTGGCCCGCAGAATAGGAGGCTGGGAATGAAGTTTTCAGTTTGGCTTCAGGATGTTCAAAGCAGGGAGTTGGCAGAACTCCAATAAACCTGAAGGGACAATTTAGTGCTACTTCAGTTCAGCTCCCCAGTTTGAGTGAAACCTTCCAAGGCTTTTTCCGATCGTACATCTCGAGAATATCTAGGAAACTGTGCTTCCAGTGGCTTTGGTCAATGGCTGTGACTCTTGAGATCCCTGTGGTTTGGATTCAGTTTTATAAAGGCTTCTGCCCCAGGAGGTAAGTAGCTGAGTTCTTGTGAGGCATCCCCCTTGGAATGATAACTCACCCCTGTGACAGCCCCTCAGCAGTTTTGGGAGTTCCAGAGGTAGGGAGGAGTAGTTAAGTGAGCCTGAGCCTACCCTGTCAGATTTAGACTGTTTGCCTAGAGCAAAGGAGCCTAGTGAAGAGCTGACTTCCAATAGTATATAACCATGTCAACATTTGTTTCCCACAGATGGCAAATAGGGAATACCCTAACCAGATTAGAAATCTAAACTTCCTCTTATTTCTTGAGGCCACACCTCTGAAAGAGTGCGGTTACAGGAAGGGGGATAAAGCAAGAAGAACCTCCAGGCAGATAAAGGGGGGTTTAGATTTAGAAAGAACAGTGCCTAACATCTCTGCAGAGTTTTGTAAAACCTGACTTTATTTTAGGAACCTAGCAGCTCCTAACGCTGGCTGCTGGCTTCCCATACCCTCTAGCCATTCCTGCACCAACTAAGGCAAATTCTTTGCTGTTTGTTTTGGGGATGTGGGATCTGAAACCCCATTAAAATAAATTTTCAGAATTTGTGTTCCTCCTTAAGTATTCATATTATTAGCATTGATTTAAAATTAAAGTACAATGAAACAGTACAAACTCTAGGCCTATTTTCTACATTGTCCTATATCAATCTACATTGTCCTATATCAACAAGGGAGAAATGGTAATGTTATTTTAATTTTTGCTCTTAATCCCAAGGAGAACTGATTTTTAAAAAAATTAAATCTTGCAGAAATACCTGAGTATAATCTACATTGAAGTATAATCCCAGCATCTAGATTTTAAAAGTGTATATACTATATATATGCTTTTTCTTTTTAACATTGTTTTTATAAAAATGGGACCATACTCTACATATTTGCATTTTTCAGTTTGGGAGACAGTTCAACACAGTGGTTAAAAGCTTGGGCTCTGGAGCCAGTCTGCCTGGGTTTGAATCTGGCTGCACCACTTGTTTGCTGTATGATTTTGGACAAGCTTTTTAACCTCTGTGCCTCTGTTACGCATCTGTAAAATGTAAGTAATGATAGCCCCAACCTCATAGAATTGTTATAAGAATTAGATGAGTAATAGGCAAAAAACGTTTAAAATAGCGTGTAACATATAGTAATACTTAATAAATGTTGGCTTCATTATTATTTAGTTGTATACGTAAAACATGATCATTGTAGAAAAAGTAGGAAAAACCAATAAAGCAAAACTGAGTGAAATTGTAGGTGTAAAAGTCTCATTTAGAGGCAGTTTCTATAATATATATCCTTCTAGATGCTCTCCAATATAAATGTGTACACACATAAATATAAATATACTTTTTTAAAAAAAGCACTATAGCATATATATCTGTAATATAAATAAGTTATTTTCATTTATTATATAAATAATGTTAAAATAACTTAAATAAATTGTTAATAAGAAATAAGTATATCCAAGTTATATTAATGCTACATGATATTCCATTTTATGGATGTAAAGAATTCTACTAGGGCTGTCCAGTTAGCTCAGTTGGTTAGAGTATGGTGCTGATAACACCAAGGTCCAGGGTTCAATCCCTATACTGTCCAGCTGCCCCTCTCCGCCCCAAAAAAGAATTTTGCTGGATATTTATGGTACTTGTGATTTTTTTTTTTTGCTGTTATAAATAATGCTTAGATAGATGACTTAGTACATTCTTTTTTATGCCGTGCGTAATTATTTCCTTAGGATAAGTTCCTAGAAGTAGGATTGCTAGGTAAAAGGGTATATATATATATACACACACATACACAGATGGGTCCCTGACTTGCAGTGGTACAACTTAATTTTTTGATTTCACGATGGTGCAAAAGTGATAGGCATTCAGTAGAAAGCAGTAGGATACTCTAGAGGCATTGGGCAGCTGCAGCAAGCTACAGCTCCCAGTCAGCCATGTGATCACAAGGGTGAACAATGGATACTCTACAGTGTACTGTGTTGCCACATGATTTTGCCCAACTGTAGGCTAAAGTAAGTGTTCTGAGCACATTAATGGTAGGCTAGGTTAAACTATGATGTTCAATAGGTTAGGTGTATAAAGTGCATTTATGATATTTTCAACTCATCATGGGTTTATCGGAGATCCACATTGTAAGTTGTGGAGCATCTATCCTTTAGGACATTTACTACTTTTTTGTTGTGGTTCAATTTTTTTTTTTTTTAAAGATGACCGGTAAGGGGATCTCAACCCTTAGCTTGGTGTTGTCAGCACCACGCTCACCCACTGAGCTAACCGGCCATCCCTATATAGGATCCGAACCCGTGGCCTCGGTGTTTTCAGCACCGCACTCTACCGAGTGAGCCACGGGCCAGCCCGTTGTGGTTCAATTTGATCAACTTTTTCTTGTAAGGGCACATTTTTTTCCACACCTTGGTATAGTATACAATGTGTGTGTCATATACATTATATGACATAGATGTCATGTATAGTATATGACACACTAAGTGACTATTTGGGACTTTTTTTGTTTTAACCTTAATACCTTTCTTTGACAATTTAGTATAATTGTAGATTCGTTTATTTATTTGAATATTGAATACGTATACTTGTAGAAAACTTTTTACAAAGGTATAAAGGGATAATTAGGGAAATTAGAATTTCTCTCCTATTCCTGTTTTTTGGTTTGCCCTTCTCAGCAGAACCACTGTTGACAATTTCCTGTGTATCCTTCTAGCGAGTTCCATGCTTATGTAAGCATATACACATATATATTGTTTTAGGGTTTTTTTAATGCAGAATCTTTTGTTTTGTTTCTTGTTTTTTGGCAGCTGGCCAGTACAGGGATCTGAACCTGTGATGTTGGTGTTACCAGCACCGCACTCTCCCAGTGAGATAACTGGCCATCCTATATTGTTTTTTTGCACTCATGGTGGTGTGCTTTACATATATTATTCTGTATCTTAGTTTTCTTCTAACAGTATTTCTTGGAAATTTTTGCATACTTGGTGTATTTTATTTTATTTTATTTTATTTTTTTAATAGATGACCGGTAAAGGGATCTTAACCCTTGACTTGGTGTTGTCA